CGATTTTTTTACAATTATGCGGCGTTTTTTCAGCCTTCTGATTGGTCGAAGTTGTCCTTGTCGAGGTCATTTTTGCGTTCGAAGGTCGTTTGGTTTGGGCTGCAATTCTTCAGATTTGCCTGTATGAAAATTGACTTCATGCTTTATCTATTTTCCCAGGCACTTATAATCCATCCACCAAAGACCTGTTTTTTTTGTCAATGCGAAGACAATACTTCTGTAATTCCTGATGTGTTGCACTCACTGACAATCTAGCGAATTTTTCCAACTATGCACAGAAATGATTGTGCATAAGTGAAAAGGATGTTTTATACTATTGGGATTAACATTTATCAAGTGTATGTATAATCTCCAGTGTACATGTTAAACATATTTTGCTATCGACTGTAAAATGTGACTGAATAATATGGTTCTATTTCTGTAACAATTTGATGATGCCTGTGTGTTTATTTTACACGATGGGTTTGCTATCCTCATGCCCAACCTTTTCTCTTTACCAGCATTATTTCTGGCTTAGCGAGGTAAAGGAGTGCGTCGGCCGGGGATGGAACCGCGGACCATGTGAATGGTCGGCGAGCATACTAACCGCTATGCCACCCACGCGTTCTATGAGAACAAATTTATTAATTTAATAAATAATCAGTGAGTGAAAATTTATAAAACTCCACAGTAGACAGTGAGTAAAGCATTGGTATTATCAGATGCAAGGGACCAACTTCACTATGATAAACAGATTTTATGATGGAATTTGTTCCGCTGATCATTGTACGTGCTAACAGTATTCTGAATATCTACCAAATGTGCGTCGGTGGCACAGTGGTTAGGACTCTCGCCGACCATGCACATGGTCCGGGGTTCGAGCCCGCACCGACGCACACCTGATATCTATGGTTGGCCTGCAAAATTTGGGCTACCGATATCCATGCTGAAAATTCCATACTTGTACCGAAAATACAGTGTGGAATCAAGCTGTAAATCAAATATAAAAATAAAAATAAGTAGGTTCTAGTCAATTCAAAACACCGTTCGAGTGATACAATCGTAGAAAGCAGCATTACTGTACATATACAGCGCTTCAGTGTAGTTCCTTCGAAAAGAGAATTTATAGTCAGTGAATTTGATAGTGTTTCGTGCTAATGACTAGTTCAGGTTTATAGTAGTAAAAAAAACCGGAGAGAAACTAATAATGATCACTGTCTCCACTTATATAGGGTAATCATGGGAACGGATAGTAAAGAAGTTAAATCCAAACGCAAAGTCCATAGAAAGCGTAGAAGAAAGGCAAAATTTTAGTAGTGCTTTTGCTGTTGTACTGATTTAAGCAATGCGAATAGTTGAGCGTTTCGCTACATTGATTGAGAGCACCCGTTCTTTGAACCACTCTTACAATCTGTTGAGGTCTCCTTGCACTGTGAGTGTATCACTGTCGCCCTCTACCTACTTTAAAATTTTCAAATCATCTGCACATGGGATCACAGGGGAATCATCGATCACAAATAACACATTGGTAAATAAATAAGAGATGCCCATGTGCTGTGCCTTGTGACACTCCACTACAGACTATCGTCCCGTAAGAAACCGTTGAGTTAATCCCGAAGCTCCATCTCGTTCCCAAGATGAATTTCATGATCCATTTTGATAAGCTTCCCCTGATCCCAAGACTTTCTAATTAACCAGTTGGTCTCTTGTGGAACGATCTATCGGAAGGTTTGCTGAATTCTATGAAGACGACATCGACCAGTCTGCCGTTGTCCCCTTATTCGACCCAAATATCTCTTGTCGTAAGAAAGTTTGGCAGACATGAGAGATTTTCTGAAAGGCCATGATGTGTTGCGAAAGCCATGTGTTCCAGATATGCCACAACGGTCTTCTTGATGATTACTTCCGGTGTCTTTATAAGTGCGCTGTATAGACTGATGAGCATGAAGTTTTCAAGGCTTTGTCTTGATCCTACTTTGAGGATGTAGTTAACGAGTCATCCTTCCAATCACATCTTGTATCCGCCAGCTGTGATCAGAGGCGATGCTCTGGGGAGGGATGAAGACGCCTCTTCAAACGTTTTGGAGAAGGAATCTGGTATTTTTCTGCCTTTGTTTGATCTTCGGTTGTATCATTATCAGCATCCAGGTTTTGGACCCCATTGGATGTCTTGTTCAAGGAAATCCTTTTAGGTGGTACCATTGCATTTTGAGTCAAATATACCGCGCACTTTATCCTTAATTTGCGGATTTCTGCAATAGATTTGTTCCTAGCGGCGTTGTATAGCTTTCTGGTCTCTGTAGTTTCAAGCGCAGTAAACAGGTTCTATCATTTGTGTTTACGCCTGAGTAATTTACGAGTCTCTCGGTTTTTCCAGGGAGAGCAATGCTCCCGATACTTTGAGACATACCGAGGTATGAAAGGCTTAGGCATTTGGCGCGTAAATTGCTTTAAACAGGTTCTACGCGGTTTATACTTGGGACTCTGGGTTTATTCGCCAGTTCACAGAGTTGGCTACCGAGATGGTCGTATTCGTATCAGCCCACCAACTTTTTGGTGGAGCTTCAGTTTTGGCCCTTGCTACCGTCGCTGTGAACTTGAAAGTGAGCACAGCACGATCACCTCTTCCTAAATGAGGTGGATGTTATACAAGGTCCACACTCTCGCCATGAGAGAACACCATGTACGGGGTCGAAAAGGAGTGCTGTGGGCCTCATGGCACTTTGGAACGGGGCTAGAGAAGCACTAAATTTCAGCACCTCATAGATAAAAGGGGTGTCTGAAGATGGATTTGTTTGGTTCGTTCAGTCATCTGTTGGGATTTTGTGGTCGAAGATTACGAGGCTTTGACTGTTCAATATCCAGGAGCCTAACTTATCCATTAGGAAGTCATCTGGGCTGCAGCCGACATTGCAGCATATAGTAATGAGGTCAATACCCTAACCTACGCTTTATGTCTGCGGTGTGAATATTAGCGCGTTTCGCTTCCGTCTGTGACAGCCTCAGTGCTACAGGCGGTTGAAAACTTTTTGAGGCGGATGACTATGCTAAATCCTCTCGGTATAGTCGGCCCGCCATATATATCATGAATTCCGGCAGTTCAGCTTCGTTATCAGTAACATCGGATGTGAGCCATGTCTCTGTGGTGACAACTTATCCATGCTTGTACAACTGGTGTGTCCTACATACATATGAATGAACGTATATTATTATTGTTTCGTAGGTACATCATACTAGCCGGCTCAGTCAATTTTTCAACAGGGTGTGGGCATTTAAGTAAAAAAACTGTGAGCTCAGTTCAGTGCTTCTGTGAGTCACCCACAGAGGTTCCAGTACCAACAGACTTTCAAATGTTGCCATTTGAAAACCCCTTCTTGCTGCCTTAGTCCCAGTTGCCCAATTCTAGAACGGCTGGCTGTCTTCTAACACTCTGCTGGACGTAAGTCAGCTTAGATATACATACATGATCGTTTAGGAGTTTGAGAGTTGCCTAGTGCAGCACCCTGCCTGCTTTTGGGTTAAGTACTACTTCAAGAAAGCGTACCGGTTGTTTTACTGTAGGCCCAAACTTAATACCGATTCTATACAAGCAACATGTTGCAAATGCATCTGCACGTAGGAGAGACGATTCCACTGTAGAGCAATGTTTAAAGTCTATACCGCGAACTCCCAAAGGAATTATGCTTCTTTTCCTCTTAGGACTAACATTATATATGAACTGATATTACACATGCTTAACCATGAGATTTAATGTATTGTTTTCGTTTAGATCCATGAATCAAAGTAAGCATCAGTCATATGAGTATTGTTTTACTCTCTTACATTCCAACGAAAGACCTTGAGCTCTTGACACGCGCTGTCATCGAAAGTTAAATTAAATAGTGGACTTGTTATTCAGTTACACTAGGTATATTTATTTTACTTACGAATAATTTGCCGTAATGTTGCCGTTATCGACCTATTTTTTGTGTACAAAATACTGCTGAGTTTTATAAATAATATGATAAGAGACGGTTGGTAAAACTCTCTGACAACTGGAATTACCCTTTCGTTATATTGAATGGAACACTTGGAAAGTTTCAAAAGTTGTTATTTTAGTGGCCTTGAATTTTGTGTTCGATCGGAAGTGGCCACACCGATGTTGGAGTTTCGCTGTAGATATGTATTCATTGAAGCATTGTTATCATAGACATTTCCTCCCATAGCGTTGTATAAACGTCGGAATGATTTTGTATGAATTTTGAGTAGTTATGATTGTCATTTCCACTCAGGCGTATTATTTTTTCAGCACAAGGATTTTTCAATTTATTTTGTTATATTTTAGCGTCTCGAAAACTGTTCATTGCAAATGGGTTGCCCAAATAATTTTACACCTTCAAAGTCCATCGTTTTACCTATTATGAACGAAAGCTTATCATAAATAAGCCATGCGACAGTGCTAAAGGGGGCGTCATAAAAATGTTAAGTATAAGTGTCGTAATAAGTAGTATTAGGATAGACAGAGATGAAAATACTTGGAAATTAATATTGTATATCAGGTGTTTGACCATCACTCTCTGCCAGCTGGCGTCCCTAGATTTCTTATATTCAGTTATATTTATAAATGGCCTTCGCGATATTGAGAAGAGATTGTGAGATAGCACCACTTGCCACGGACAACAGCGTCTATTATAGTACTTATCTTCTCTTAGTTGGCTACCAAACTGCATTTCACGATATCGGACGTTCAAATTACCCTAGGTGGCGATATATAAATGGTAGCAACCTTTACGAAATTTCACTGCCGGTGTTACGTGTAAATGGAATATGCGTCGGATACAACAATATAAATAACAGTATCTAAATGTTAATCTATAGCCATGTCTACTGCCCAAGTATGTTTTAGAGACTGGTAACCAGTATTTTTGTGTGTAAGTCTCAAATCATTATTCTTGTTTTTCTTTGTTAGCATTAGATGTGGAGAAAAGTTGTAGTCTGATGTAGTGATAGGAAAGCAAAACACGTATGGGGGCCCAGAGATCATGACTTCTTTTGGAAAATATGTCAGTAATTTTGTTAAAACTGCAGTTTCATCTATATCACCTAATAAAATAATATCGTACACCATAAGTCAATATGAATCCGAATATCAAGAGTGAGTTTGTGTCACGTTGTGTGTAACCTCCAAAATATAGCTGTGAACGACTTCTACAAGAAAAATCAATTTATTACTTTTACAAAGTGGCAAACCATTTTGATATGGTGTATTTGCCCGGACTGGTTGGCAGCTCAGGTAGTGGTGAAAATATACATGCTTACAGGTATCTGTCGTTGTTAAATTTGTAATTGATTTTCAAAATATAGCTTATTCCGATTCCAAGGTGAAGAGGAGGCAGGTGTTGCTATGTTTTCACGATTCATGGAGGTCCTTGATCCTCTGCATTTGGCCTGCATAAGCGTGGGTTTAACTATCGATCGTACTTGTTTAGAGAAAATAACTACTTACTCTCGAAACAACTATGGTTGGGGAGCTGCTCACGTGGCTGCAGCAATTTCCTGGCGCGAGCTCTTTCTTGGTGAACCTGTTAGAAGGTAAGCTTATTCATTCATTGAACAAATTGAGTCCAACACTTTAGGCTTTTGAATGAATATGATCCTATCTCCGGTCTAACTCCATTAAGAATTGCTATAAAGGAAAAAGATGAAGAAACTGTCCGCTTTTTGGTAACTTTGGACAATATTACTGCATTTGAAAGCGATGGAGATGGGAATACTGTGGTCCATTTGGCTGCTGAACACGCTTCCAAGAGAATTTTATGTGTAAGTCCAAAGTTGAAATAGTTACTTCTAAGGGATTATCTAAGTATTCACTTGTATAGATTATGTAGGTAGATAATATTAGTCACTTGGTAAAGACGTCTTCGTACTCCGAACACTTACTGCAACTATAGTACACAGCTCCTTGTTCTATTTGAGGGTTTGCCGTATCCATTTCTTCATGATACTTAACTGTTATCATCACTAGAGGACAAAGACATAGTGGAGTGTTTGATTTTTAAATACTGCTAGTCTTAAAATTTAGCCATAAGGGAATGCAGCTGGATCCTCACTGGGGGAAGCAGCTGGGGAAAGAAAAGTCTTTGATGCTCCTTGGTCACCCAAACTGAAGTGTTTGAAGTGCTTATTACCTCAAAGTTGACTATCTTTCACGATGACCATATAGGCTTTATTTGTTCTATTGATATATAATTATTTCTTTTCACTGTTAGTGTCATTTAAATGTCGATGTATGAATGCAGCAACTTAATTTGTTTTGTAACTTATGCAAATCCAATACAACATTGTGCAATGGCGTACTAAGAGTACCTGATATCCATGTTACTATCGGGCGACTGAAGCCTCCGTTAGTAGAAAAGAGTCAAACCAGTGACTCGTTGACTTAAAGGTGTCAGTTCCGCCATCTTTTCAGTCCAGTTGTTGCTGAACTGCTGGATATTAGTATTTGCTTGCAAATGACTTCAAGATAAAAAAATAGTAAATTACTTGTACATACCAATGCTGTCATTTATAGTCATCATATGATTATGAGCAGTAACAAATTTTGCTCGAAATGTCATCAGTAAATATTATTGTGTAACACTGTGAGGCTTAAAATAAATTTTACCGATAATGGAATTATACTCACAGTGCACAAGTTCTATTCGCGTATTCGAATTAAGTTAAGCCTGCCTACTGTCATGTCTCACTCATTTATCTCCTCTTCAGTTTACCTAGGGTAGACATCAACCATGAAAGGCGTGAGTATTCGCATCTTTTTTTTCCTATGGACTTGAAGAACTGACTGTTTTGTGTTTGAAACTCCTTAATATCTAAAACCTAGAAGTTTGTAACCACCTTTTAGGAGAATATCTATGAAGTATCATGGAAATTATTATGAAGCCTATTTAATATCTTTAAATTTTATAAATATGAGTAAGCCTTGTATTCATGGAGAGAGAGATAGAGAGAGAAAGGAAGGAAGGAAGAACGGGTTAACTTTCTTCCAATTTTCGGACCCTGTTTGAGTAGAATTCGATTCATGAAGGCTATCTGGCTGGCTGGATTCAACATAGAACTTGGCACCGAAGTGCATCAGTTCGAGTTGCCACGTTCCAAATAGCACACAGAAGTAGACAAGAAGATGAGTGAAGGGAATCAATACAGTCTGACAAGTATAAGAGTAAAACAGAATGGGTAATGGTAGAAAGGAATATGAGACAATCTCGGAAAAAAATGGCACTATAATTAGCTCCCAGGATAGACGACTGGATCGTTGGAAAGAGCATTATGAGGAGCAGTTTAATTGGCCCACAGCCACGCTCAACCTTCCGAACATCCAACACTTCCCTGAATGGAATATAGACACAGGTCCTCCATCCCTAACTGCGGTTACTAAAGCCGTCACCAATCTGAAACTAGGCAAAGCAGCGGGACCTGATGGAATCACTCCAGAGGTATTTAAGTACGGTGGAGACAGCTTACTGTCTGGATTAACTGAGGTACTAGGCAGCGTCTGGGAATCAGAGGAAGTCCCATCGGGTTGGTGTAAGTCGCTGATTATCCCGATATACAAGAAGGGAGACAAGTCTTCCTGTGATAATCACAGAGGGATTAGCTTGACTAATATAGTATCTAAAGTCTTAGGCTCAATAATCATGCGTAGACTAAGTGGTGCTCGGGAAGCACAAACACGAGAGAGCCAGGCAGGCTTTAGACCAGGAAGAGGGTGTATTGATCATATCTTCACCCTCCGACAGATTCTAGAACGTAGGCATTCCTACCGGTGTCCAACAATCATTATATTTCTTGACCTAAAGGCAGCTTTCGACTCTGTCGATCGAGAAGTTCTCTGGAGATGCTTGGCTGTAAAGGAAATTCCGAGAAAATATATTGCACTGATTAAGGCACTACTCGTACTCATACAGCCAGGTGAGGGCTTACGGCGAGCTGTCATCTGGACTAATGATGACCAGTGGTGTCCGTCAAGGATGCCCATTATCCCCTTTTCTATTCAACTTCATCATAGATGTGTTAATGGACTTAACCCTAAATGACTTCAGCGACTCAGGGATTGACTTGCTACCGGGGAATAATCTCGTTGACTTGGAATATGCAGACGATATAGTCCTTCTAGGCGAAGACGCTGACAAAATGCAGAGTCTTCTAAACGCCTTGAACAGCAATCTGTCTGTCTGTCTGGATTCAACATAGAACTTGGCACCGAAGTGCAGCAGTTCGAGTTGCCACGTTCCAAATACCACACAAAAGTAGACAAGAAGATGAGTGAAGAGAATCAATAGAGTTTGACAAATATAAGAGTGAAACAGAATGGGTAATGGTAGAAAGGAATATGAAAGATTACAGAGATTGAATACATCTGCGCCATTGACAACGATTTTGAGCCATGTCACCTATTGTCTCCAGCCATTGATTCCTAGAGTCGCGAGGGCCCCAACCCGGGAGTCTGCATCTCCCTACCTGACTCAGTTTAACTGTCAAGGATTTCATGGATTGATGAGGCCATGTTTTTGTTTGGCCACCACTGGCTCTTTTCCAACCTGAACCTATATCAGCTAACAATGCCCGTCGGGGGAACAGCAATCTACGAATGTTTGGCATGCGATTCGCTCCCGCCAAATGCAAGATGATGTTACAGGACTGGACTACATCGACGCCTAGTTTAAAAATAGGGAGTGAAGTGGTAGAGCACGTTGACCGCTTCACTTATTTGGGAAGTACCATCAGCCCCAACGGGCTGATCTCTGACGAAATCTCAGCACGGATACAGGGTGCTCGTTCCGCATTTGCCAGTTTACGCCGACTGGCGTAGACGAGATGTTCGACTATCGACCAAAGGGCGGGTGTACTGCTCATCAGTCCGCTCCGTCCTCCTTTATGGTTGTGAGACCTGGCCACTCAGAGTGGAAGACATGAAAAGACTAGCTGTCTTTGATCATAGGTGCCTGCGCTCTATTTCCCGTGTAAAGTGGCATAGTAAGGTGAGAAACATTGAGGTTAGGCGTAGAGTTCTAGGTAAACAGGGGAAATCTATCGACGAAGTCGTGAAGTTACAAAGACTGAGATGGTTAGGACATGTGTTACGTATGCCAAGTCATCGCCTCCCTCGACGAGCTATGTTAGCGGATATAGGGTCAGGCTGGAAAAAAGCTAGCGGCGGTCGAACAAAAACTTGGCACCAGTCAATGAAATCCACAACAGTTGGTCTAAGCCACGTAGGAAGGTGTAGACTTCCAGGCTGGGGTCCTCGGGACGGTAAAAACCAATGGTTGGGAACAATTGGTGACATGGCTCAAAATCGTTCTCAGTGGGGCAGATGCATCCACTCCTTGTGACTTATGATCTCCAATGAAACTGTTTTGTTCTTCGTTATTACTACTCCTTTGTCTCACCCCTCTGCTCACTGTTTCTATTATGCTTTTCTTGTACTTTCTTCTCTTGCTTCGCGTGCTACACGGAGTGTGGCGACTTGAACTTCCGCACATTTGTGCAAAGTTCTATGTCGAAAACAGACAGACATAGGGGAAGGCTGGAAAAGGGCTAGCCAGTGGTGGTCAAACTAAAACATGGCTTCATCAGTCAATCAAGAAATCCACAACAGTTAGTTTAATCCAGCTACGTAGGAAGGTGTAGACAGGTGTCTGGTTGGGGTCCTCAGGACGGTAAATACCAATGGCGACTGGAGACAATTGGTGATATGGCTCAAAGTGATCGTTCTCGGTGATGTCTGGTGTAGGTGCATCCACTCCTTGTGACTTATAATATCCAATAAAACTATATAGTTCTTCGATAATACTATTCTTTTTGCCACATATCTCTGTTTACTGTCTGTATTTTGCGTTTCACTTTCACTTTCTTCTCTTGCTTTGTGTGCTGAGTAAAGTGTGGTGACTCGGACTGCTGCACATCGGTGGAGAGCAGTTCTACGTTGATGCCAGTCAGTCAGTCAGTCTTAGTTCACTAGTTATTTCAGGTAGTATTCTATTTTCAATTTCCATGCAGCTGTTTCAGCTAATATTTACCAACTTAACTTTGTGATGCGTTTTCGTATATATGTGCTTGATTTGTAACCGAAGACTCAGGTGGTTTCAAACCCTTAGAACAACTAAATGTAATTATTTTTAACCTCTTAAGCAAGTGCGCCTTCTTACTGAATACACAATCTTTTTTTCGATGTCCCTAATTTTGTTGAATCAACATTCTGCTACATGATTAGCCAATTACTGCCCACTGAAATAAACACTTCGGTTATCCTGTTTTAACTTTGACCTGTGAAAGTAAGTGCTGATAAATTCATCTTGCCTAGTTGATGTGATGAGGTTTTCACTATTAAATATCTTAATTTATAAATATTTATTTATTTTACTAAAACAAAATGTAAATGACTTTGTCTTTAAAAATAAAAATACTCATATTCCAGCTCCTCCTGCAAAACCTCAAATGTTTAAATGTCAATGCATTGAACATATATGGTGAATCACCGTTGCACATTGCCTGTCGTATTAATTCTTTGGAATGTGTAGAAGAATTGTTAAAAGCTGGTTGTAATCCACTGGTTGGTGAGGCTGAATTATTTCCTATGCACATCGCTGTTAACAACGACTCAATTGAGTAAGTTTGGTGAATAAATTACTCTCAGTTTGTCTTTTTGTTGTTGTTGTTGTTTTCACTTTTTTTAAGTTGAACAACTTAGGCAACATTTTCCAACATATTATTTTTTAAAATTGAGTTTTAGATTTTCCCGTCGATTGATTGGACCGAAGTGCTCTTCGGTTTCAGGTTGACATGTCTGTTGGCTTCTTTTGCAGATGCTTCGACTATGTCTGGGCATGTAATTAGAATTTAATTGATGGATACTGACTAGCGGTGGAATCCGAGCCGTTGGACAAGAGGTGGCTCTGGTGGCCTAAATAGTCTAGTAGGTAACGCTTTGGCTGGTGTTTGAAACTATGGACACTGGGGTCGAGCCTCGTTAGGGAACATCATCATCACTCACTGGGGAATGCAGGTACATCCAGGTGACGACGAGTCCCAAATAGGACGAAATGCGCATCCTGGCTGGATTCAACTCCTAGTCACCCACCATGCACCAATTAAATTAATATTTACTTATTTATACACATCTTTGCTGGTCAAATATGCAATGGAATTCACCACATGGAATGAATACTCATGCAGTCATCGAAAAAGTCGGATAAAAGAATCGAAACAGAAGAAAAGTTTTTAAAAATGTTCCACAACAATATTACCAGTCATGGCAGTCATTTGAACTTGGACAAATGCTGCACTTTCTTCCATGAATAGAAATCGAAGAACATCAAAATCCAGGGAGTGAGAGTTCAGAAGAATATTTTAATTACCGATGGCTGTCAGCCCATCTTTTTTTACTTAATATTCCTCTTGTAGTAAACTTCACTTCCTATCACTGTTTCCAGGACTGAGTGAACCATAAAATACAGCCTTGTCGAAAATAAGGACACTACAAATTGACGTGTGCGGAAATCTCTCATGCATCGAAAAGATTCACGTGGATGTGGATTCTTAGCCTGCAAAAGTAATCATTCTAAATGTTTGTCGGATATTGTTGACGGTGGTTTATTTGGTTATGTATTAAATTTAGAAAATCAAAACAAATGGTGATTCAGCGAAGAGACTCTTTTCACCAACGAATTTATTATCAAGCTGTAAAATCGTATATAGACAGGTTATGTCAAATAGCAAAACAATTAATGTCATTTATAGAATAATTCATAGGATGGATAGAACTTGGAAGGGGTGTGCAACTATAGGATTAGTAGACAAATCGAATCAAAGTGAAAACGTTACGTAATACTGTGTAAAATAGATAACATAGAATTTAATGCTGCAAAACAGAATTGATTTAGAATGACAAGTGGGACAAGTGAAATAATACCGGGGACAGTTCAAAGTGAGAATAGTAATAATAATAAAAATAATAATTTGCTTTATTCCAAAACAGTACTTGTGGTACAGAATGAAATTCTCAGCATTTCACTACAGTATTGCATTCAGTTAGTACGTTAACAATAAATAAAATTCTACATAGATTATGGGTAGTCTCAGTTCATTATGACAACAACATATTGGCATGTCGGTAGCAAAGCCAAAATTGAACAGAGTGTTTGAAGGTGTTAGAAAAGTAGACGCTAGCATATTTACTGGAGTAAGCGGTAACAAAAAGGTCGAGATATACAGAGTGTGGGAGAACGAAGAAGAATGTTTTAATAGAGTTAGCAAAGAAGAAAGAAACAAAGCAGAATTTAACAGAAAAAAAAGAGAGAAAAGGAAAAGAAAGAAAGAAAACGTTGTATCTATAAATGATATCAGTTCGAAAGACGAGATCCTGTTGTTCTACTGACTATTTAATAAGTTATAGGTATCACACCTAATGCTTTCTTTATCGCACAGAACACGAGCAAACTAGGGTATGGTTGAGTTTTTGTACTTGCTAGTGCGAGCATATAATTTCCTATATAGGCTTCTAGTTTTGCCTGATGAGATACAAGGAGAGAGTTGTGAATGAAGAGGGTGGTGTGAGTTAGATAAAATGGATTTAGCCCATTTTTCACATGAGTCCATGTGCCTGTCAACCAGAATATTAACAAGCTGGTTAAGTGGCACGTAGCTAACCCTGCTGACAACCTTTAACATCCTGCGTAATAAGGTACAGTCTTTCTTCAGTAGCCCTGGAAAAATATAGGCAGGATGTGTGAGTTAACGAATTGTAGGAGTAAGGATTGGGTTATTTAAGAATGTCTTAACTTCTTGATGTTGAAGATGAGACGGAATATTTTCTTAGAAATCATCAAGATATTAGACGACCAGTAAAGATCAGCAGATAGAATGACGCCTAGGTATTTAATTTCTGACTTTGTTTCTATTTCAGTGCCATCTATGTTGCACACTTCGTGAGTGCTAACCAATTTGTTTAGGTCAGATTTATGCCTAAAGGTGAAATTGACTGTTCAGCATTTGGAGGGGTTTAAGGTAAGACGTAATAAACGAAGAGTATACAAATAGAATAGACAAAATGAAAAAAATTGGTAGAGCCAAAATATGATTAGGAATTACCATACTCTAGCTTAGAGGGATTAAGATCATGAAAGTTGGAGGAATTGGAGAAATCTTTTTCTGTATGCAGTGATCTGGCTTGTCTGTTTCGATGACCAAAGCTTCAGTAATACAAATAAGTCGGGTACGTAATAATTTGGGTAAATTACTTTTGCCTTGTAGATGACTTTAAAGGTGGAAGTTGTAGAGATAGCGTGATCTCTATCGACCAGATGTTCAGTGATTGCTCCATTTCCACCTCTTCGAGTCATGCAGGATAGTGTTCTTGCACCCTCTGGGACAAAACTCGAGTCAAACGACCGATATACCTAGCTCTACACGATCAGGTGAATTGACAAAACACACATAGAGTTGGTCAACAGCGAGATCTTCTTCCTGAGGTTAGGTCGACTATTACAGGTTATTCTCGAAGATGCATCAGGGAATGTTCTTTTCAGGCACTGTGAAATCATTCTTTTCATAATATCGGAAGCTAAATCACCTTTGAATTCGAAGCTCATGTACAGAATTCTCTTGGGTACGGATGACAAGTCACGTTTCGTAGGATGTCTATTCTTGTCTATAAAGAGTGGTGGAGATTCACTGTCTATTAGGATTTTCCTCATCCTCCACAGTATCAGGGCCACATATTCTCGGAATGCGACTGACATGCGACCGGATCAGGTTTCGTTTTCGACCAATGGTTACCCAGCTGGAGAAATTTGTCAGTTGACCATTCCATGTCAGCTTTCGATAAATCGATCTGTTCAGAGTTCCATCTATCCTCCGTGATAAGTTGACATCGAGGAAATGAATACTAGACTGGTTCCCCCTTTCGAGTGTGAATTTTGTCGCTGGATGGCAACCATTAAATGCACTTAATATATTATTTTCAAATTACAATCACTATTACAAATAATATATATAATTACAAATAATAATAACATATTAAATTACCCGAGAAATTAAAGCGTAACTACTGGAAGGATTGCAATCATGACATCCTTAAGTTTGATACACTTTCGTGCTTTATAAAAGCCTTTTCTTCAGTATCCTATCGGTAATAAGATGACTGGGGGTGGCTTAAAGTTTATTGATAACCGATCTGATGAATTTTGTCTGAGTCTTCTTGTATGCATGATGTTAGAGTTAGAGTCTGCTGAACACATAGCCTCAAAATATGTAGGTTGGCATCGATAGAGGTTGTTTCTTTAATTCCTTTTTTATCCATCTACTTGGATATGGATTTCTGTTTGGTGTGTTTTCTTCCTGGGGATAATAAATAACGCCGATGGGGGGTGTCGGTTCCGTTTAAGTTGACTTTCTTTTCCTTAGTGAAGTCTTGAGTCAACAGTGTTTTTAAAATATGACAGAATTAAATTTTGAAATAAAATTTATAATGACGGAAACAAATAAAAAAACTAAAAAGGCAGTGTATAATATAAGTCTGAATGATGCGACAGACAGCGGACAGCGCGAGGAAACAGGCATAAAATGGACCAACATAAAAAAGAACATGGAGAACCTGGACTTCGCCGATGATGTGTATGTCTGATTTCTGACAGACTGGAAGATATTCAAGTGTAAAGCAACAAGTTGGCAGAAGAAGCATCCAGAGAAGATAAGACTTTAGGTAAACATAAAGGAAACAGAGGTGATGAAGATTCCTGGCCTACAGAAACAACAACAACAATAGACAACAATCAGCCAGCATAAATGGGAGAAATCTGAAAGAAGCAACCTCCTTCACTTAACTACCTACCTACCTACCTACCTGGGAAGCATTGTTTCAACTACGGGCGAAACTGACAAGGATATCAAAGTGAGGATCGGGAAATCAAGGCAAACTTTCATTTCTCTCAAGTTTGTGTGGAGGTCAACAGCACTTCTCAGCATGAAAAATAAGATTCGGAATTTCAACTCCAATGTAAAGTCAGTGCTACTTACCATATGGATCAGAGACTTGCATTGCGCATCACGAAGGCCACTTCTAACAAACTACAGTCCTTCATCAACAGCTCAGTACTACTCAAGATCAGATGGCCGGCCAGGGAAGATCAGCAACAGGGTGGGGTCTCTTGGAGCAAACCAACTAGGAACCGATTGTACAAGAAATATGCAGGAATAAATGAAGGTGGATTGGTCATACCCTGAGGAAACCATCAAGTGACATCACATGCCCGGTCATCACTCGAGTGGAACCCAAACGAGAAGCGGTGAGTTGGTGGTCACTGCAAGGGTGACTTGGAGGAGGTGATGTGAAGAGGAGATGAAAGCATGTCGGCAGACTTGGTGCTAGGTGAAAAGGTTGGCAGAGAACCGAATGCAATGGAGACGTGCAGCTGAAGTCCTATGTTCCTCTAGGAATTAAGGGAAATAATAATAATAGTAATAATAATGGTCTCCTTTAGAATACACAATTCCCACCTCGCTACTTAAATAGTGACAGTTTCAGTAGTTCAAAGTGGTAAGTTTCTCCTATCTCTAATTCCTTTCACAGATTTCTTTTATCACATGCCTAGTCTTTCAGGTATGTATGATCACTGGACTTCATTATTGCAAGGTGCTTGTCATCTACGTAAATTCACACTGAACTGTCTATCATGTTATTGACAGTAAAATTATAATTTAGTAGACTTTTCAGAATCTAATACCACCCAAAATTTGTCTCCACACCTGCGTCATAGTAGCTAGAGATACGTGTCGAATGTGGGATGATATATGTGTGTATGTGTGTGTGTGTGTGTAGGCAAGGCATGAAGTCCCACTATCTATTTCTGTTTGTGTTTCTCCTTTTGTTGTTGTTGTTGTTGCTCTTACTGTGTTTAAACTGGACATCTACTGTCGTGACTGTCTTATGCACGGGAACCAGTCTCACAAGTGGAAAAGTTTCAAAGCTTGCTCTGTTGCTCAGTTTACAACTTGAACTGATGCACTTCTCTACAAAGCTTCTGAATTCATCTTCCTTTCAGTCTGATTTGTTGTACTTAACACTTAGTGAGACTGATCAGACTTTTTGAGATGAGTGATCGTCAAAACAGATCTATTCATTTAGTAAGCTTCACTTCAAGCTCATTGTTATTATTATATAGGTTAAGATGGAAAATGTGCTTATCGGTAGCTGTGTCCTTATAATGTATAACCAGAGAGTGTAAGTACGGCAACTATCTGTAGTGACACATTGTAGTCGAAAGGCATAGATGACATCTACTCATTGTTTAGTGGAAAAATAAGCTTGCTCAAATTGACTAATTTCGTAAAGGTTTCTCTCTCTGATCCGGATAAACCCTACAGCGTAGCTACAGAAAAAAATTGAATGGATAAAGCAGAAGGCAAGACACGGAAGCCAAGGTATATTTTCTTCAAGTGATGAAACAGCTATCTGTATATCTCTACACAGTTTATGCATCCTTTAACCAATCACTGAGCGAGTGTGTGATTTTGGTTGACATTAAACGACATGAAATAGAATGTTCAAATACATTTATATCGTATTCTGTTGCTAATACAATATATTGAACTGTGTGAGAATAGTACTCAGCCGTTAACACCATCAAATACAATGAGTCTCTTACTGTGAGAATAATATTCCTTTGGCACACATTGTCTGCATCACACCACCACCAGCACCACAAGTTAAGCGGTATATTCAATTCGGCGTTTGATAAGTAGTCATCTTTTTTCTGATTTTGATTGCTAAAATGTCTAATATATTAATTATTTAAGTTTATTATTTTGGTAAAAGGCATACTTCCTGGTTTCAAAAAGAAAACAAGAAGTTACGTGTTGTATAGGTTGTCATCAAACCTACTTACTGTCTGTCCTTTGTTGGAATATATACACAGCGGTCGGTCATCTACCGATATGATATATATATGACTGCTGTTAACGTTGACGACGTCATTGATGGCGTGAATATTGATTTTTTTTCAGCTTTTTCGATTTGTTTTATCTCTCCGTCTCTTCTTTCCTTGCATACACAACAGATGTGTAGATCTACTGTTTGCAAACTGTCCACGTTGTATCAATCTGCCAGATTTAATAAACCATAACACGCCAATTCATTTGACGCGTAATTTCAAAGTGAGCGCTATCATCATTTTACCCCTTGAATGTTTTTATATATTTGTATGTGATAACTGTAATTATAAATTATTATGATTTTTACATTTCGTATTAATGGTTGTGTATTGTATATGCTATGGAAGCAGGCTGACAGCTGGATAAACAAATAGTCTTATCTAAACAAGCTCAGTATATAAAAATGAAGTCGTTATATATATATATTCCGCATTTAACTATTCTAAGACTTTTATTTAGACATTACGCTTCATTTCAACCACTAGGTTCCAGTCGAACTGAGACGTATGCTTATTGAGACTAGTCGATGATTTCGTCAGGGTTGATTTGTCCTCAGCAATTTTAACTTCGGTTATACCCACAGTTCTGCTGGTTAAATATTTGCCAACATTAACTATTCAGGAGTGTACTGCTGTGGTAAGCTTTTTGTCTTCAAGAGTGTGTTTGTAGGCATTGAACTTATTTCAAGTTTGGTCATGGATTGATATCACTTGGAGAATGAGCTGTTTCATTCTAGTCAGGCATTCATCATCGGCAGGCAGTACGTGTACCCATTAGGGTTCGAACCTAGCAGTTACACAAATCAAGCTCGTAAACTATTCAGCCATTGGGATCTGATTTTTATAAAATGGCTCATGAGTTTAAACTTTTTAGCAGTGATTGGTGATTTTAGCGCGTCTGGCACCACCAGTCGGTGTCATTTGTGGCGAGTATATTTGTCCTTACTGCAGACTGGATGGACCCGGCTGGTCACGATTTCTCACTAGCACTCCAGGAGACTTTGTTGTGTACACCTAGGCATGGGTCATTGAGTAGGGTCTTAGTGACTGAATGATCTAAGAGCTTGTCTTGTCACTGGAAAGTGCTGTGTTCGAACCCCCGTAGTGGGTGTGTAGTGCTGATGAGTCCTAAATAGAGCTGTCCAGTACTCCCTGTAGGTTTTCCACTGGTCCTCTAACTTATGTCAATCCGTGATCAAGCTTGAAGTGATAATAATAACTTTATTCTGGACAGTTTTTATATGATGTCCACAATTTTCAGCGATCTTCAAGTAAAATAGTAACTGACAATACATCAAATGGGATTACAGGATTTCACCATGAGCTGACATTGGTTAGAGCACCATTGAAAAACCTGGGAGTGCTGGACAGCTGTTTCCACTGTCCTAGTTTGGGACTCTTTGGCAGTACGCCGAACCCACCGGGGTTCGAACCCAGGACCTTCGGGTTACAAGGCTAGCGAGCTCGTAGACCATTAAGCCACTGGGACCCGATCCAATGGCCAGTCGATGAATTCCAACTTCTGCCGATTCATGATATAGCGCAACCGCTGGCCAAAGTCTTCGGCGAGTATTTGTCCTCACACCCGACCTGGTGCACCCTATACTGGTCACTGGGAAAATGTTATCTGACCTGTAGGTCAAACTAATCCCTTATGAGATATTTCCTGTTTGTCTCCTTCAAGGAATACACGACATATGGCTAAAAGTCAATTAAAAAGAAATGCAGGGGTGCATTTTTGACAACGAAGAACATAACATAAGTGAATAATAAGAGATTGACTGCAGGTGGTTAGTTGTATTTCCTAGGTAATGAAAGTGTTTGTACCTTTGGAGGTGGTCATATTTTAATAGATTAAAACGAAGTTGTTCAAGAAAAGTTGTGTGTAGTGTGGTGATGGAGGAGTTTTATGGTAGCCCAAACGTTAACGTTGTATGTCAACAGTCACTGTAAAGCGATTAATCAATGAATGAAGAGACTGTGTGTTTTAGCTAGAAAGGTGTTTTTTCATAATAGAATGACTGACCGACTGGTTTCAACGTGGAACTGCTTTGTATAGATGTGCATCAGTTCGAGTTAACACACTGCCTGCCAATGCACCACACAAATCAAGAGGAGAGAGTAAGGAGAGAGAGATTCAAAAGAGCGCTCGCGAGAGAGAGAGAGAGAGGAGAGAATGGATTGAAGTGTGCGTGAGGGAAAAAGAATAGTAGTAATATGGAAGAACACTAGAGTAATTTGATTGGATATGACAAAACAGAATTCTCAGATAAGGGAAGAAAATCACCTTAATTGAAGTGTTTCAAGTGTACCGATGATTTATCCAATTATAAACAGATATCAAAATAAATTGATTTACTAGGTGAAGAGAGTCAGTAAAAGGTAAGTTGGAGAAATGGTGCTAATAAATCTCATAGGAAAGATATACATAATAATAGGGTGATATTCACAAAATATATATAACAATTGAACGTGGGATTATATCCACGGTTAGAGGGAGTAAATAGAGAAGTTTCTTCTGTGTGTACATAAATCGGGGTTCTCCGAGTTATATCTACAAAGTCACACTAATAGAATTAACCCTAAGGGGGTGACTTCGGCCACTCAGGGATTGACTTTTTACCAGGGGATAATCTCGTTGACTTGGAATATGTAGATGACAACATAGTCCTTCTAAGTGAGGATGCTGATAAAATGCAGAGTCTTCTGAACACCTTGAGCTGAATCTGAGAATATTTGACATGCGAATCCCTGCCGCCAATTGTAAAATGATGCTACAGGTGTGGACTGGACTACATTGACTCCTAGCTTAAAGATAGACAGGTAGTGAAGTGGTTAGTGGGGCGTGTTGACCACTTCACTTATTTTCGAATTTGCATCAGCCAACGTCAACGGGTTGGTCGCTGATGAAATTTCAGAAGGGATACAAAAGGCTGGTTTCGCATATGTCAGTTTAAGCTGTCTCTGGCGTAGACGTGATACCCGTCTGGCTGTCGACCAAAGGATGTGTGCATAGCTCAGCAGTTCGCTTCGTCGTGCCTTATGGCTGGCTGTGAGTGAGACCTGACCGTTGAAAGTGGAAGTCATGAAAACGCTAGGCTAGCCTAGCTCTTTTGATCATAGGTGCTTGCGTTCTATCTACTCCTTGAGTATAACTTCAAGCTCAATATTTCGTTATTGCTACTATATTTTGTACGTGAGATGTATCCTGTGTGATGTATTATCATCATTCTCTTTACCCACTAAGCAATGTATTTTGAATTATATATATATATAGTCCATCCCAAGCAAAATACTAAGCCGAATCATCCTGGAGAGAATCAAACAAGCCCTGGATGCAAAACTTCGACCGGAACAAGCCGGATTCAGGAGAAACAAGTCATGTATTGGCCGAATCGCCACACTACGGATCATCATTGAACAAAGCTTGGAATGGCAGTCACCTCTCTACCTCCCCTTCATCGACTTCGAATAAGCCTTCGACAGTGCAGCGTCGATCGAGAGGTGATTTGGCAACTACTTCGCTACTACGGGGTCCCATCGACAATTATACGTCTCGTCCAACAGTTATACGACAATGCTACATACCAAGTAATCCACAACGGGAAACTTACGGAAGCCTTCGAAGTGAGGACGGGAGTGAGGCAAGCTGGCTGTCTACTATCGCCAATGATCTTCCTGACTGCAGTAGATTGGATAGTGCGACAGACAACGGGCAATGGGGAAACAGGCATAAAATGGACTCACACAAAATAGAACTAGGAGGATCTGGACTTCGCCGATGATGTATATGTCTGATTTCCCACAAACTGGAAGATATTCAAGTGAAAAGCAACAAGTTGGCAGAAGAAGCATCCAGAGAAGAGAGGATTTCAGGTGAACATAGATAAAACAGAGGTGATGAAGATTCCTGGCCTACAGCAACAACAACAACAACAGACAACAATCAGCCAGCATAAATGGGAGGAACCTGAAAGAAACAACCTCCTTTGCGTGCCTACCTACCTACCAGCCTGGGAAGCATCGTTTCAACTGCGGACGGAACTGACGAGGTCATCAAAGCCAGAATCGGAAAAGCAAGACAAGCTTTCACTACTCTTAAGTCTGTGTAGAGGTCAACATCACTGCTCAGCATCAAAAATAAGATTCGGAATTTAAACTCCAGTGCGAAGTCAGTGCTACTTACCATATGGATCAGAGACTTGTCGCGTCATAAAGAGCATCTCAAACAAACTTCAGACCTTCATTAACAGTTGTCTTCGCTCAATACTCAATATCGGATGGCCGGCCAGAAAAGATCAGCAACAGGGAGGGATCTCTTGGAGCAAACCAACCTCGAACCGATAGTGAAACAAATAAGCATTAAGAAATGGAGGTGGATTAGATTGTCCACACTCTGAGGAAACCATCAAGTGACATCACTAGACAAGCCATTGCTCGAGTGGAACTCGAAAGGGAAGCGGGTGGCGAGTCGGTGGTCCGTGCAAGGGTGACTTGGAGGAGGTTATGTGAGGGGAGATGAAAGCATGTGAGCAGACTTGGAGTGGAGTGAAAAAGTTGACAGAAACCGAAGGCAATGGAAACGTGTGGCTGAAGCCCTATGTTCCTCTAGGAATTAAAGGATATAATAATATATATATATATCTTTACTGTTATATTAATATCCAATTCTTATGAACATTTTTCGTATTACATAACCTTTAGTCTAGACCAACTAATCTTCAACGTCTCCCCATCTAGTTACAGTTTGATTATTCATCTATTTTTAAAAAAACAAACATTTTATTGATGTAAACAATCCTACGAACTAATTTTTATTCTGATGTTGTTATGTTTGACAAACTGAATGTACACACACGTATACACAAGAGTATAATAATTGTATATAATTTAGATTGTGCAGTTAACTGAATGAATTTTTTTCAAAATGTTGACTATTAAGTAGTTCCATGTGAGACACACAGTGAATTCACTAACATACAGCTAACTTGAAATCTGTCTTTCGTCATATGATGTCTGCTTTCTAAAAACTGCGCCTCCTCTCCACGTCGAAGAATCAGCATAAAAGATGATTGACTGACTGACTGACTGACTGGTATCAACGTAGAACTGCTTTGCACAGATGTTCAGCGGTTCCAGCCGACACACTTCACTTTTCTGCACACAAAGCAAGAGAAGAAGAAATGCGAAACAGAGATATAAGGCAGAAAGAATAGTAATATGGAAGAAGAATAAAGTTTTCTCGGATATTATAATTCACAAGGAATGGATGCATCTGCGCCAGCCATCATCAAGAACGACCACTTTGAGCCATATCACCGATTGTCTCCAGCCACCACTGGTTCTCACCATTCCGAGGAACCCAACCAGTCAGGAAGCCAGTCTACACCTTCCTACTTAGCTGGATTAAAATAGCTGTTGTGAATTTCATTAACCATCATTGGAGAACCTCGCTAACTGATGTCAGTCAGCTCATGATGAAATCCTCTAACCAATCAATCAAACAAAATCCCTACAAAAAACAATACCTGAAAATTAATCTAATGCTCACTAGTGATGGCCCTGTTCAGACAGTTAACCTGGGGTTCTAGTGGGAAGCCGTAACCACTAGAATACAGCAGGTTGAAGGTGAGGCAGCAAATCATCGAAGAAGAAGACATTGTGAAGTGGTCGCGCTATGTCATGAATTGGCAGCAGTTAGAATTCATGACCTGGCCATTTAACCTGAAGGTTCTGGGTGCGCACTGCTGAAGACTCCCAAACTAGGATAACAGAAACAGCTGTCCAGTACTCCCTGCAGGTCTTCTGGTGGTCCTCTGACTGATGTCAGCTCATGATGAAATCCTTCAATCAATCAAAAAAACAAACAAAACCCCTACAAAAACCAATACTTAAAAAAAATATCTGGAGTAGTGTATTTATGACTGCTCATAATATATTATTGTACACAAGTGTTTTTGTTAGACAATTTTTCACCTTTAAATTTAATAATCTTACGATTTATATATGTATATAATTTTCTTGCTTCTAAACAACATTCACGTGTGTGTTTAAGTGACTTTTTTGAAGTCTATAGATTTCGCGCCAGTGAATATTCTAATTAAAATCACAGTTTGTTGTACATCCATATTCTATGGATGGGTCATTCGTTCTATACAAAAAAAATTCTAACTGAATTTTAATACTAATGTATATTATAATGTATTTTGTATAAAATAAAATATTTTGTTTATATGTGTGTGTTGAAGTAAAATTATAATTTGTGGAATTTCTATGCATTCCATCCACTCATCTCTCATTAGTGTTGATAATAATAATAATAATATTATTACTACCAGTCTTGGTAAAGTCACCTTATTTTACTGGTCATAGCGAGAGGATATTAAGGTTATGAGTGTGCGCGCGCGGATGTGAATTTACTGTCTTGTGACAATCCGTACGCAGATGCACCTATCCGCACACACAAACACACTCACCCACACACACGCACAGGTCAAATTTAACAATACTTCGGTACTGTAGAGATAAATATATTTATGTATTCGTATTTTCTGAGATTTATGTAATCTACAAATCAAAAGTGGAATGTTGTTATTAAAGTTATTCGTAAGGTGTTATCCTTCAGTGCTTCAAAATTAAAGATTGAGACTGTATTGTGTATGATGTCTATGGAATTGTTGTTGTTGTTGCACTTATTCCATTCTCTTATATCACTCTAATTATATAATATGCCGTCTAAATTATTGGATCCCAGTGATGAAACCTCCCTGTGGATTTCGTTTCACATTACGAATTATTATTCACTGGAATCGGAAAGGCGAAATCACACAGCGGGCTGGCTGGTGAAACACCCTGCCTTCGGGAAGCCAGTCAGTCAGTCAGTCAGCCGATGTGTCTTCTTTCTCTCTCAACGAAAGGAAGAAAGCGAAATTGGCGACGTGGTATGTCCGTAAAATGTACGACACTGGCTGGGAAGGCTGGTCGGGTAGCCAAAGAAATGCAAAGATATAGCCTAGAAGTGCTGGGTGTGGATTGACAACACTGTCAACGGGAGAGTCAACAATCTCCCCTGGTCTGGTCACCCAGGCGACGACCACGAACACACTGAGGGAGTGGCTGTCATGATGTCACCAGTGGCAGCCAAAGCCCTAATACAGTGGGATCCAACTTCCTCATTCAGGATCATGATAGCAAGATTGAACTCAAGGAAAGATGGTTACAACTATCCATTTCTACGCACCGTGCTGCAAACAACGTGGAACCAGTGGAGAAGAAGGAAGATCTTTATAGACAACTACAAACAGTAATGGACAGCACTCTGAATGGGGATATCAAAATCCTTATGGGCGATATGACTGTGGACTAGGAGCAGATAATACAGGAAAAGAACTCATCACGGGTGGAGAGACTCTGGCTTAGCGAAATGAATGAGAATGGAGAACTCTTCGCAAACTTTTGCTCTGTCAATGATTTAGTGATTGGAGGCAGCATGTACAAGCACAAGGATATACACAGTGCCCCAGTGACATGGATTTCGCCTGACGGACAGACCACAAACCAGATGGACTTCATCTCAACGCCGCTTAAAGAAGTGATCATGCAGCCAGCCTGGTGGACTGTTGAAGAAGCAGTGAAGACAGGACTGCAGGTGAAGATAGAGAAGACGAAGGTGATGAAGATAAACAACCAACAGCAATAACAACAACAACAACAACAACCAGCACTAATCCTCATCAACAGGAGAAATTCGAAAGAGGGCACTTCTTGCCTTCACTTATCTAGAAAGCACATTTTCAACCACAGGCAATCGGAACGGATAAGGATGTCAAGGCCAGCCAGAATCGGAAGGGCAAAATACGCACGCCTTCACCAACCTGAAAGCAGTCTAGAAATTTTATGCACTCCGCCTCAGTTTCACAAGGTTGTGGTGTAACACCGGTCCTCATAATATACGCAAAGAGCTGTTCGCTGTTATTTGTCACCACTATCTTCTCCCTGTCTGTTTCTCCACCTTCGTTGTCCTCCACTATCAATGCAGGCGGATATTGTCAGTGTATATGTAATATGCATTCGCTCTTCATGATGCTTGAAATGAGCTCGCTTGTATCCATTAGTTTTATGAAACCTCTTGTAATCCAATAGCTCTACACAGCCTTCCTGACAGGGTCAGAAACAGTATTTGACGTTGCCGTTACTTGCAATTGAAAACTGTTTTAAACTTTTTGAATAGGAATGACACTTTTCTCGTCAACTGAAGGCACAGTCACTTTCTATGTGAATGCAGATGGCGATGTCCAAAAGTAATGTGAATTTTTGTGATCCGAAGCACATAGTAAAGTCCTACTATCTTACTTAACATGAAGTGCAACTCAGTTTTTTTCACTCACGATGTGGGGGGGGTGATTGAACCCTTGTCCACCTACCTATTAAAGCCTTAGCCATCATGAGAAAATTTGTTGTCTGATATATACGAGTTTGCGCATGGTTCTTCATTTGGATTCAGTGTTTTTGGTTGTTATCACACTTTTAACTTTCATCTACGGAAATGTTATTGATGTCTTTCTCGATTCAGCAGGAATTACTGTGATCATTGTTTGGTTTTGTTTGTTATTTTTTGCATATCTCAGATATTTGAAAGATTATGTGATCTTGGAGCAAATTTAGATGCACGTAATGATATGGGACTTACTGTTCTACACATGAAAGTCCGTGATAACAATTTCGAAGAAGTCCTAGCTTTATTAATCAATGGTGCAGATCCAAATCTGTGTGATATTGACGGAGCAACTCCTTTGCATTACGCAATTATTGTAAGTCTTATTTAATTATTATTACTATTGTTTATAATCATATATAACTTAGTTGATATACCTCTTTGAAAATGGAAGGAAGACATGAAGACGCTACGATCAATTACTCACCATCTTGGTGACAGACTGACTGACTGCACTTTGATATTGATTACATTGATCAGTCATCCTTATGAGTGATTTCAGCTCACTGAGTAAATTTCTATCTTACGAATTGTAATCACCTTCTTGAGTGGATAGTGTAAACTTACAGACTAACACTGTGTGTGTGTGCTTCCTGTCTTCTCCTCCGCAGCCACCCCAGCCATCGTTTTCCACTTTGGAAGAAGGTGTGTGTGTGTGTGTGTGAATTGATCATGACTTAAACTAAGAATTATAATGTGATTACATTTCAGATGGGTTAATTTTTCGTGGTATTTTCTCTACTGCTACTGTTACAATTGAATCACCGAATTACTTTATTCTTTTGTGACTATTTTTGTTTGTTTTTATTTCATGCAGGCTGCAGCTGATTAGATAAAACCTGTGAAATTGAATGACGTCACATTTTATCCTGCAAAATTAGTCTCTGCTGACTTTCTTAAAAGTTATCATGAGAGGCATATGTGTGTATGCAGTATCACTTGGTCATGGTTTTGTTTTTTTGTTATTTGTTTATCGACTGATTCTTGTTTATTACAGTTTTCTTATATTGAAAACAAGGATGATTGCGTCACTTGACTCTTGAGGTGGCGGAGGAGCATGATATCGTGTAAAAGCCATCTGAGCGTGTAAGGAGATATATTCATGTTAATATTGCTTATATATAAGATACAATCAGGCAAATCGCTTAGAGTCTTTTGCAGTCATGTGATGAATAAACATCGCAATACGATACAAATAGTCGTATTTCTTATTAGTTGTGAGATGAAAGGCAGCAAACGAAGGATACAGGATAATAAGGTGGACGTGAATACAACTTTCGTGCTATAACAACACACACACACACTCTCTCTCTCTTAGTTGAGTAGTTTAGTTGTTGAAGAATATCAGTATGATTCTATGCGAAATTAGATGGTTTTATCTGTTATATTTTGTATAACACACAATGCACAAACTATTAATCACTACTAGATGACGTTTCTTGCACATTTTATTGCTCATAATCAATCATATCGGTGTTTCACCTGACGTGATAACTTGCCTTAGATCGTCGTGCTCCCTGTTACTTTTCTTTTATTGCAAGTTTCATGGTGTCTGGTGTAGACGTTGCCATCGTTCCTCTGTCTCTCCCTATGCTTATGTAACAACAGAAGGCAAGACACGGAAGCCAAGGTATATTTTCTTCAATTGATCAAACAGCTATTTATATCTATACAGTTTATACTCTTTAATAATAGTGGTATGATATCAGATGATATAGTCCTTCTAGGCGAGGATGCTGATAAAATGCAGAGTCTTCTAAACAACTTGAGCTGCAATCTACGAATGTTTGGCATGCAATTCAATCATGGTGTCAAATGTAAGATGATACTACAGGTGTGGACTGGACTACACTGACTCCTAGTTTAGAAATAGGGAGTGAAGTGGTAGAGCACGTTGACAGCTTCACTTATTTGGGAAGATGCATCAGCCAGCCCCAACGGGTTGATCTCTGACGAAATCTAAGCATGGATACAGAGGGCTAATTTCGCATATGCCAGCTTACGCCGGCTCTGGCTTAGTAGACATGATATCCGGCTGGCTATCAACTAAAGGGCGGGTGTACTGCTCATCAGTCCGTTCTATCCTCCTTTATGACTGTGAGACCTGGCCATTGAGAATGGAAGACATGAAAAGATTAGCTGTCTTCTATCATAGGTGCCTGCGCCTTATCTCCCATGTGAAGTGGTATAATAAGGTGAGAAATATTGAGGTTAGGCGTCGGTCGAGTGCTAGATAAGGTGGGAGGGGAAATCAATCGACGAAGCTGTGAAATTACATCGACTGAGATGGTTAGGACATGTGTTACGTGTGCCTAGCCATCGCCTTCCTCGACCGATGGGCAATGTTAGCTGATATAGGTTCAGGCTGGAAAAGAGCTAGTGGCGTTCAAACCAAAACATGGCACCAGTCAATGAAATCTACAACAGTTAGTTTAATCCAGTTAGCCACGTAGGAAGGTGTAGACGTCCTGACTGGTTGGGTACTCGGGATGGTAAAAAAATGGTTGGAAACAATTGGTATGGCTAAAAATCGTTCTCAATGTCTGGCGGAGATGCATCCACACCTTGTGATTGATGATTTCCAGGGGAACTATATTGTTCCTCGTTATTACTATTCCTTTGTCTCACACCTCTGTTTACTGTCTCTGTTGTTCATTTTTCTACTTTCTTCTCTTGCTTTGTATGCTACAAAGGAGGGAGTGTGGCAAATTGAACTGCCGCACATCGGTGCAAAGTTCTATGACGAAAATAGGCAGACAGACATATTCTTTAACCAATCACAGAGCGAGCGTGTGATTTTGGTTGACATTAAACGACACGAAATAGAATGTTCAAATACATTTATATCGTATTCTGTTGCTAATACAATATATTGAACTGTGTGAGAATAGTACTCAGCCGTTAACACCATCAAATACAATGAGTCTCTTACTGTGAGAATAATATTCCGTTGGAACCCGTTGTCTGTATCACACCACCATAATTGTATTTCTTTTGAAGACTTTTACCCCACCCTATCCTGTTGTGTGATTGTATTCAACTGAATACATTGCAACGGACAAGCTCTGTGCAGATTATTTAACTTTGGCGCGTCAGTCATGTCAGGTCTCGCTCGCTAAACACCTATATTGTAATAATTTAATTAACCCTGACCTATGTAGTTAACCTCATACCTTTGGTAAATTACATTATTTTGCCTAGTAGAATTATTTATTGAACGCTGTATAAGGTGACAAAGTTTGTCTCCCTAAGTTGGTTGGTTTAAGCGCTACTCCAATTCCAGCCTTAACAAGAATCCCATTTAGGGCCTCCTGTATTCCTTCTTCATACAAGGAGTCCTGTATAGGCTATACTATTTACATTATCATTCTTATTAACCTTTTGTTGTGTTTCATGCATTTTTAAGTACATTCTGGTGGGTAACGTTTTCTTTATTTGATTATGAGCAATAAATTGCAATTGAAACTTCATCCGAAACCGCTTCTGTTTCGGGTTCCACTCGAGGGCTTTTCAAGTGATGTCACTTGATGGTTTCCTCAGAGTATGGACAATCTAATCCACCTCCATTTCTTAATGCTTATTTGTTTCACTATCGGTTCGAGGTTGGTTTGCTCCAGAGATCCCTCCCTGTTGCTGATCTCTCCTGGTCATCTAATCTTTTCAAAGTCGATAAAGTTGAGCGAGATAGAAAGGTGACTGTCAATCCAAGCTTTGTTCAATGATGATCCTTAGTCTGGCGATTTGATCAATACATGACTCGTTTCTCCTGAATCCAACTGCTCCGGTCGGAGTTTTTCATCCAGGTTGACGTGTTTGATTCTCTCCAGGATGATGTGGCTTAGTATTTTGCTTGAGATGGACAGGAGCATGATTCCGCGCCAGGTTTTGCATTGACTCAAGTCTCCTTTCTTTGGTAGTTTGAATAAGTATCCTTTCTTCCAATCCTCAGGTACTTTGCCCTCTTTCCACAAACGTTAGTTTAATCCAGCTGTTTAGGCAGGTGTAGACTACTGTCTAGTTGGGGTCCCCGGGATGGTAAGAACCAATGACTAGAGATAATTAGTGATATGGCTCAAAATCGTTCTCAATGCCTAGCGCAGACGCATTCACTCCATGTGATTTATAGTGTGCGATAAAATTCTCTTGTTCTTACGTATTACTATTCGTTCTGCCTGATATTTCTGCTTATTATCTCTGACTTGAATCTCGCTTTACATTCTTCTCTTGGTTTTTGTACTAAGTGTTGTGTGGCGACTCGAACTGCTGCTCATCTGTGTAAAGCAGTTCTACGTTAAAACGAGTCAGTCAACACTAGTTAATACTATGCTGTGTAAATTAGTTATGTATATATATATATATATATATATATATATATATATATATATATATATACCTGTACTGTTTCATTAATATCCAGAGATTACTTCAGTCAAAGTGGGCGTCCGCTTCGAATCAGAATCTAGGAACACAAATTAGCTGTGAAAAGAAGTGATATATGTATTCTTGCGTATCAATCCATGTAGATAATTATGAACATCGGTTTGATTGGGATAATGTCGAGATTTTAAACAGGGGAAAGCCTAAATGCGCCAGAGAATTCCTAGATACCTGGTACTCAGGCGAATATGCGACCTACAAATATGCTAATATAGACCAAATTTACCAACTGATAAAAAGTAAATCATGTGACGAGAAGGTTTACAGTCCGAGTCAATAAAAAGTGATCAATACAGATGTAAAGATGGTTACCGGGAAACGCAATTCTACCATTCATGGAGAATTTAAATCTGCTCATTTTATGCTAACACTTGCGCTGAAACGGGATGTTGTCCAGGAGGGGGACGATGAAAGCTCCTCAATCGAACCAACCAACTCAGAGAACACTACTAATTGCAAACCAACTATGACCCGATTGCTTAACAAATATGTAGGCGGAAAAGGAGATGGATTGATTGGGGATACGTTGAAGAGGCTGTCAAATGTCATCGCGCGTATGCAGGCTGTCGCTCGAGTGGAATCCCATTGGGGAGTGACGAGTAGTGGGTCGTCGGTGCTAGGATGACATTCAGGAGATCGTGTGGCGAAGAGGAGATGAGAGATTAAGGTCAATCGTTAGGGAGGCTGAATAGGCAGGCAGAGAATAGTAGAAATTGTGGAAATGTTTTGTTGAAATGAAGCCGTATGTTGCACTTGGAGCCCAAGGGAATAATAACAATTCAGAGTTTCTTTTTTATCTAAAAATATCTATTATCTATTTTATCTCCTCCACCCCACCTATTGGAAGTAATAACACTAGTAAACTAAATCACTCGGAAC